TTCCTCGCAAACCTTCAACAAGGTCGGATGCGGTGTAATCTGAGAGGTACACGTCAAGTAACCCAAAAACACCGTATGAAATCCATCGGGTGGCGAATACAAACGGTCACCCTTCTGAGGCAACAACAACTCAACATTACTTGGCGCTCCAGATAAACGACGAATAGAGTGCAGATGCTCTTCCGTCAACACACTATCAAAATCAACTAAGTCCAAATTAATTAGCTTCTTTTTCTTTTGCCTTCTACTATCAACCTCAACATCACCCAGCGGAATATCATCTTCCTCCTCCTCCTCGACCATCGGCTCACCTTCACTACTCGCCACCGCATGTTCACTCGGCGAAGGCGATTGGTTAGAATCATCGCTATCACTTCCAAAATCAACAACTTGGTGTCGAGGAAAACGCCTACTAGCCACAACTCCATCTACTTGCTCACTAACATTATCATTCGCTTCTACATCGTCGCTCCACGATTCAATAATTTCTCGCCGACCAAAACTTCCCCCGTTTAAAACAACACGCGAATCAGCACCCTCGGAAATTTGCCCGTCGATTCCGCCCGAACCGGGCTCAAAACCGGCTTCTAACGCGCCCTCACGCGCGCGCGTGGCCCCTAAAGGGCCGGATCCACGCGCGCGCACGTCACTTGCCAGCCCAGGGCCACGTGCTCCCTCCCCACTGGCTCCCGCGCGCGCGTCCGTTCCACTCCTCCCACCAGACGCGCGCGCGCGTCGTCGCCTACTCTGCCCGGCCACGCGCGCTTCAACTTCGACAGGTGGACCAATGGCGCGCGCGCGTCCACCTAACCCACCAACCGACGCGTGCGCGCCCTCTTCTCTCTCCTCCACCGACGCGCACATGCGTCCCTCGAAATCCGTGCCAGACGCGCCCACCTCAACAGCCCTCTTCTCTCTCCTATCGTGGGAAATTGTGCCAGCCCCCACAACAGCGACACGGCTCGGCTCCACACACAGATTGGGCGGGTTGGCTCCGCGGCTCGAGCCGTCAGCCGTCCCAACCCTACCCACCACCCTCCTTCTCGCTTCGATTCGCCTACTAGCCGACGCGAATCCGAATTCCGCATCTGTTATTACTACCTTCTCGCGTTCCATACCCACCGTACCAAACTTTTTCTCACCCCCTTCGACCGGATCTCGAAGTTTAATACGCAAAGACTTTGACTTACTCGGGTTCGACATGATATATTTGTATCCGGAGGAAAAGCGAAAAAATTTCTACTCTACCACAAAAAATGATTCTCAAGAGAAGAATAGCACAAAAGAAGACCTAGAGTTAAAAGTACATACCCATATTTATTACGCGAGAGTTGAAGATTAATTCTTTCCACCGCAGAAGGAGTCTATTTATCTGGCCCTGGTATATTATTTAAAACCCTTAAACATATACCTCGCTGCCAAATAAATATAATTATTCCTTAGTTAAATTCACCACCAACAGAAACAATTAATCCACGACGCAATTAACTCTCGACACGACCCGGATCCCTCTACTCAAGTCCCCGTCTCGAATCGAGAGTTGGGGGGCTTAATGATATACCTAAATAGGCCGGCCCAATGGGCCCCCAAATTTATCTACTAATTAGGCCCATTACACGAAAGCCCAAATACATTCAAAATAAGGCTTGGGCCCAACAAAGTAAGCCCAACCCGTTCAACGATATATAAATAGATAGTTTACTTATTCGTAGAGGTACGTTCTAATCATTCACAATCAACTACGAGTTTTATTCTCTCTACTATCTCTACGATCCGTACATCTGACTTGAGCGTCGGAGGGGTTTCCGCCGGATCAACCCCCGGCTTAGTTCACGTGTGCTTATTTTGTAGGGACCTCAGGATCATCGAGTTGACTAGCTACTGATCAGCTTTGCTCTCCCAGCTCGTTTCCTATACTATTCCGGTGAGCTATACTTTAGCATCACCAGGGTTCAAGAAAAGTGCAAATTTCTCCAAAAATCCATTCCACCAAGAACGCCCACAAGGTGTTCGACGAATTGTCCGACTCAAGTTTGGGGGAAATTTTGCAAAGCAATCCACTCCTAATCCCTTCTACACACATTCTCAAGTCATGGGGAAACGAGGACGTGACGGGGAGGGCACTTCACAAGGCGAGGGAACTTCAAAAGGCAAGGGGAAGGGCAAGAAAACCGACCAAATTCCGACACCCGACGATGACGCTTTTTGTGTCGAAGGCGCTAGTGCTCGTTTCGAGAAGCAAAAGGGGAAGAAACTAGTAACGGAGCGTGCCTACGAGATCACCCTTCCACAATTTGCCCCGTTACATCAAGAATTCCTACGACGATGGTGGCAAGCACTATTGGAACCGGAGGGTTCGATCAACCTATCATTGGTCCGCGAGTTCTACGCCAACAACCATATACACCTCACAGAGGAGCGGAACGTGAGCACGGTTCGAGGCAAGAGGGTCGAGTGGAATGCCTACGCAATCAATTCTTTCTATCACCTCCGACACAGGACACCATTCAATTGGGGGCAAATGCAACTTGCGGTCACACGAGATCAAATCGCCGAGGTGTTGTGCGATGGACCCCCCATTTGGTCCGAACTATCAACCGAAGAAAAGTACGAGTTAGAGTGGAAATGCATCAACCAAGTAGGCAAGGCGTGCCTTACGTTCATTTGTGCCAACCTCATTCCCACCCGCTCGTGGACTCGCGTGGACCCCGAACGGTGCGCTTTGGCATACTACATCCTCAAGGGCACCCCGATCAACATTGGCGCAATCATATCCGGCCGATTTTGGACCTCCATGGTCAACAACTCCAAGGGATTTTATTTCCCTTGCCTCATTACCGGCTTATGCAAAAAGGCGAAGGTCCCAACCAAACCGACGGACATTTTCACATCAATTCGAAATCCGATGAACGACCTTGCGGCCCGGCAATACAAGGCACCCATCCAAGATGGCGAGCAACCCGTCGAGAACCAACCAATAGCTCCACCCGAGGGTCCAAGCACAAGTTCGGACCGACGATTTCAACGAAGAATGGCGCGAGAGTTGGTGATCACGAGAAATCGGCTTGCAACGGTGGAGCACAAGGTGAGCACTATCGAATCCCTCCAACGGTGGTCGGGAAAGATGCTTCAAGCCATTGTACGCCATTTGGCATGTGGCAATCCCGAGTGCGAAGAACCGGCTCTGTTGCCCGCACCGATTCTTGAGCCGGTACCCGAGCTTTCGGATGATGACGGAGATGGTAATGCTCATGCGCAAGGCGGAGTTGACGAGCAGCCCAACGATGGTCCCGACGCGTAAACAGGTGTTTTCTATCCTTAAACTCCGGGCAAATCACATTGAGGGCAATGTGAATTTTAAGTTTGGGGGTGGTTAATTACTTGTTTTCGTTTATGTGCGCTTTATGTGTGTTTTATTTTTTTTATTTATTTTGCATGCTTTAGTTTTTGTTTTAATTGCCGTTTTATTATTTTCGTTTTTCGAAAAAAAAAAATTGTGTCCGATGCATCGATGAATTATGATGATGATAGATGGTCAATGTTTGATGATGAGACTACTTGTTTTATGTTGATAAGGAGTATGTATTTGTTTAGCTTTCGATTCAACGGAACGTAGAAGTGAATTATTGCTAGGAATCACACCTTATGCATTGCTTTGGTTGAATGTTTTGCATTTTAAATTTGGAATTTATTTGTGCTCAATCATGCTTTGTTCGGTTTTAAATCTCACCTTAAGACATTTATGATACGAAGTGTTGGGTAGTAAGCGATTTGGGAGATGATTTGGGCCTTCTTTGAACCGTTTGAGCCTTTCAAGCCTACCTTTAATTTTTATCCTTAGAACCTTGATTTGAGCCTCGGAGAGAAAAGGTGTTCTTCTTTAGCCAATATGTAGAGGAGGAAAGTGGAGATTTTGAATATTATCCCTTGGATTTCGGTTGGAATAGTGTTTAAAAGATTTTTTTTTTTTTTTGGAAAAAAAAAAAAAAAATTAGGTTAAAAGGGGAATAGAAAAAAAAGGGCATACCTTAAAAAAAAATCCAAATTCCTCGATTCGGAAAAAAAAAAAAAAAAAAAAAAAAAAAAAAAAAAAAAAAAAAAAGAGAGAAAAAGAAGAAGAAGAATAGATTAGAAGGGAGAAATAAGGACTAGTGGATGAATTGTGTTGAAAACTCGAGTCATTGCCTCAAGGCAAAAGTGTTGACGTGTGAATTTTGGAGAATCGAGTTTATTAAAGTCCCTAGAGGTGAATTCATTGTTTCAAACGCCTATCTCTCAAATTTTGGCGTAATCACCTCAATTCAAGAAAATTAGCCACACATTCCCATATTACCTACCTCGGACCAAAGAGCCTAACAATTGAAAGCCACAAAGTCCCAATGATCCCAAGAGCTTATTGTTCAATATTAGTTGAGTAGACTAATTTGGTGAGTATTTGGAGTCAAATATATGCATGTAAGTATAAATTCTTTCTTTCTTTAACTTGCAAATATTGGATACTTGAAGCAATTGTATGATTTGTGGTTTTTGGTAATAATGAGTGACTAAGTGCCGTTGAATGTTAAGCTTGCGAATACCTATGAATTGTCATCATAATTGCAAGTTCTGAAAACGCGAAGTTGACCCATCGATCTATGTAATGAGATGTATGGTTTTGTTTTGTGCTATTAATTTGATTTTACTTGAGGACAAGCAAAAGTTCAAGTTTGGGGGTGTGTTAAGTGTATATTTATACACTTAATTCTATCTTTTAATTGGAGCTTTTGATGTGTTTTTACGATAATTGGTGCTTAATTTGGTTATTATTTGTATTTTAGGTGCAAATTGAAGAATTGGCAACTTTTGGGGTGAAAACTGCAAATTCAGAGAAAAAGTGGGCCAAAAGTGAAAAAATCAGAAATCTGGAGAATCAAAGACTGCACGGCCGTGCGGATTTTAGTTCAAAATCTCACACGGCCGTCCGGATGGGCGTGATGGCGCAGTGAAGGAATTTTAATTACACAAGGAAACCCGCCCTATTATAGTTTTGCACCCTATTTAAAGGCCACAAGCACACAATTAGACCTATCTTGGATCTTTTTACCTTTCATCTTTATTTTAGTTTTTAGTTTTTATCTTTCGACACGCAATCAAGGAGCAAGAACGAAGACGAAGACTTGACGACTCTTCATCATAGTTCTCCTCTTTTATTGTTTTTATGATTTTTTGTATTTTTATTATGCTTTTCGTTACGAACATGAGTAGCTAAGTTTTTATTCTAGGATTTTATTGGAACCCTATGTGGTAATTCGAACCTATTTTTCTACTTTTATGCAAGTTTAATTCTTCGATTATTTCTTCTATCTTGATTTTATTTAGTGCATGAGCGTAGCTAACTTATGTTGCTATTTGTTATTGTTAGAATTGATTGACAGATCGTTTTAATAATTAGAACAGGGATAGGAGAGCCTTCGAGTAGTTTTTCACCGAATGCGTGTGTTGATTGCATGTATTATCGTAGACATACAGATAATACCTTAGGTAGCCGTTTGCGAGACTTGATATTTAATGTTTTATTTATACTAGGTTTGCATAGACATATAGTGAATCTTTTATGAATAATAGGTTTATAGCGCAGCGACAGCTGGTTATGAATAATTTCGTGTCTTGGGTTAATAATCGGGAATCGTAACTTGCATGATAGGAGATTAATCGGGTGAAGAATTATCGCATAGGGGGAAGATAAAATCCTAGATCCGTTTTATATTGATATTTTCTCGTGATTACTTGCTTTCTTAATTAGTTTAATTTATTTAGTTAATTAATTTGACAACCCTGCGTAGGCTGGATAAAAATCACAATTGTTAGGATTTGGTACTTAGGATTAAATAATTTGCGTATTCCCTGTGGGATCGACATCCGACTCTCACGAGTCTACTTTACTACTTGTTTGCGATACGTACACTTGCGTGTTGGTATTTAGCACCCAACAGGCAACTTAAATATGTTCACATTGAGAATTTTACCTTGGTTTGCTGCTCGGTTAGCGTTTTATTTTTATAAATTTGGGAGGAATATTTTCTTAACTAGTACTATATAAAAACTTAAGTGTTCTCATCTTCTCTGTCGGTATGGTATGATTAGTTGTATAAAGTTCTACTGTACGGCATATTTGCACGAGTACAAGGTTCTTTTTTCTTGCACAACCTATGCATGTAGATTCTTGATTATCGGAAGATGTATAGTTTGAGACAGGTTTCTTGATTTTAATTCACTAAGCCCTTTAAAACTTGAGTTAGGCTTCTCGTTTTTTCAATTGTGCTTCATCTTACTTATAACACGATTGAATGCTCCGAGTGAAATTTTTGTTTCAAAGTAGGACACCACATGCATTTGCAGGCCGACAATTTCTATCAAGGAAAACCGATTTTTATTCGTAATTACTGCATTTCATGTGTATAATATAGTAGAGTATATTATTTGTCGTTTTCAAGCATAGCCCCAGTCCTCCAAATATATCAAGTTCGGGTTGAAACCTCGACAGGATCTTGCGAGGCAAAGGTGAGTTTTCGACTTTGAATCAATCCTAGCTTGGTGCTTAGTTAAAAATGTGTCTTGGAAAATAAGGAATTAATTATCCAATTAATTGAGATTTATAATCTGTTGATTTTCGAAATGGGATTTTGTTCACTCTGAAATCTGTAATTGACTTTTTTCAAGAAAGTCAATAGCGATGAATTTTATGTATTCAAATATATGTGAATATGATTAAGCAAAACTCATTCAGACAATGAATGTTAAGACTTCTTACATTGCAGCACCAGTCATCTGATGATTCGGGTTTTATTACAAGTGATGAATTACTGCAAACTGTTGAACGCTAAGTTGATCTCAACTCAATTTGGACAATATTATTCCAATGTGATGTTTGTGTTGTCGAACGAAAATGGTGAGCTCCCGGTGGTTTGGACGATGACGAGTCTCCACAGATCTGAGTCTGTTTTATATGAGAATCACCGGCGATGAGATCTCCCTAGACGAAGGACTAGCAATGAAACAAAACTATCCAACAACCTCTCGAGGAGGGAGGCTAGGAACACCATTTTAGGCCTCCACGGCGGTGATTTGATGTGGCGAAGAGGTAATTGGCGGTTGACACTAGGGGCGAGCAGAAAAATCGAGCCGTTTTAAGCCATACCGAATAGCAAACCGCATGTACGGTTTTTTATTTTTGAAATACTGAATTATTCGGTTCGGTATGGTGGAAAGGTAAATAACCGAACCGAACCGAAAGTATAAAATGACTTCATTTTATATAATATATGTATTATTTTACCCTAATTTTTATTTTCTATCTTTCAATTACTTGTCTCAATCTAAGCATTTGTTCATAAATTGAGACATTGTATTTCTTTTATTTAGTAATTAAAAATTTAGCTGAGTTCATGGTTATAATAATGTGGTAGATTGTAGGAATAAAAAATGAAGCATAATACATCATCTAAGTTACGTTAAGTCCTATGGGATTAAAGATTTTATATTTTCATTGCATTAGTAAGTTGTGAAAGTAATTGTAATTGTATTCTTTTGTTTGTACAACTTGAATATATAGTTACTCTTGAACCGAAAAATTACCGAAACCGAACCGAAAAAACCGAAACCGAAAGAAACCGAACCAATAAAAACTCGATATACAGTTTTTAATTTTACAAAAACCGATATATTCGGTTCATGTTGGTTTTAGCCAAAAACCGAACCGAATCGAGCCGTGCACACCCCTAGTTGACACCAGGAGGGGCTGGGAACACCGTTTTAGGCCTCCACGGCGGTGATTTGATGATGAGGTTATTGGCGGTTGACACATGGAGGGGCTGGGAACACCGTTTTAGGCCTCCACGATGGTGATCTGATGTGGCGAAGAGGTAATTGGCGGTCGACACTGGAAGGTCTGCGTCCTTGCTCCACCTGAGAGTGATTGGCATTCATTTTACCATTTAATAACTCATAATCTGATCTTGGCAAATAACTATTTTCAACTTGACTATTTAAAACAGGCTTTTCAACTAATTAAATATCTTTTAATCGATGAAAATACGAAATTTTATAACTCTGATCCATGCAGTAACATTATTTTGCATTTGAATTGGTATTTTTCCCACCTCCATTATTGTCAAGAAAGATCTACAATAATGAGTCTTGGACAGTTTATTTGTGAAAATATATGTATAGCCAAAAACGCAGCACATCTAAAATTGGGTCAAGTTATACTTGTTAAAGTTGACTCTGTAGTAATACGATCAGCTAAGCCATATTTGGCCACTC